ATAATAGGGCGTCTCTTGGGTATATTCCCAAGAGTGGAATCGCTGGGTCCTGAGGGAGGTTGACTCTCAGTTTCCTGAGAAACCGCCACACTGATTTCCACAGTGGCTGCACAAGTTTGCATTCCCACCAACAATGGATGAGTGTTCCCCTCACCCCACATCCTCTCCAGCATAGGCTATCATTGGTGGTTTTGATTTTAGCTATTCTGACAGGTGTACGATGGTATCTCAAAGTTGTTTTGATTTGCATTTCCCTGATCGCTAAGGAGGTTGAGCATGACCTTAAGTGTCTTTTGGTCATTCGAAGTTCTTCTGTTGAGAATTCTCTGTTCAGTTCAGTACCCCATTTTTTAATTGGGTTAATTAGAGTTTTAGTGTCTAGTTCCTTGAGTTCTTTGTATATTTTGGAGATCAGACCTTTGTCTGATGAGGGGTTGGTGAAGATCTCCCAATCAGTAGGTTGCCTTTTTGTCTTACTGACAGTGTCCTTTGCTTTACAGAAGCTTCTCAGTTTCAGGAGGTCCCATTTATTCATTGTTGCTCTTATTGTCTGTGCTACTAGGGTTCTACCTAGGAAGTGGTCTCATGTGCCTATGTCTTGTAGACTACTTCCCATTTTCTCTTCTATCAGGTTCAGTGTGGTCAGATTAATACTGAGGTCTTTAATCCATTTGGACTTGAGTTTTGTGCATGGTGATAGATATGGATATATTTTCATTCTTCTACAGGCTGACATCCAGTTATGCCAGCACCATTTGTTAAAGATGTTTTCTTTCTTCCATTGTATAGTTTTAGCTCCTTTCTCGAAAATCAGGTGTTCATAGGTTTGTGGATTAATATTTGGGTTTTCGATTCGATTCCATTGGTTAACATCCCTGTTTTTGTGCCAATACCAAGCTGTTTTCATTACTGTAGCTCTGTAGTAGAGTTTGAAGTCAGGGATGGTAATGCCTCTGGAAGTACTTTTATTGTCCTACAGCTGATCAACATTTTTAGTACTGTGTCAGGATACAAAATCAACTCCAAAAAATCAGTTACCCTCCTATACAGAAAGAACAAAGATACAGAGAGTGAAATCAGAGAAACATCACTTTTCACGATAGCCACAAATAGCATAAAGTAACTCTAACCAAGGAAGTGAAAGATCTATTTGACAAGAACTTTAAGGTTTTGAAGAAAGAAACTGAAGAGGATACCAGAAAATAGAAGAATCTTCCATGCTCTTGGATTCGGAGAATCAACATAGTAAAAATGGCAATTATACCAAAAGCAATCTATAGATTCAATGCAATCCCCATCAAAATCCCAACAAAATTCTTCACCGACCTTGAGAGAACAATAATCAAGTTTATATGATGCTGTGTTTTAAACATGTTATTTATCTGTGCTGTTTTGCTGAATGTTGTTATCGTGAGTGGATACTAAATTTTGCCAAACATCTTTTTGCATCAGTGAAGATGTGATAGTGTAGATTTTCTTCTTTAGACATTTAATATGCTAGACTGTGTTGCTTGATTTCTTCATGGTGAGTCAGTCCTGAAACCCTAAAAGGAGGAACACCCACTTGGCCATAGTATATGCTTTTCTTTATTTATTACTAGATACAATTTTTTAAGATTTTGTTGAGAATTTCTGTGTTCATGAGAGATATTTTGATCTATACCTTTATTTTCTTTAGCTTTCCGATTTTGGTATCAAGGTAATGCTGACCTCTTAAAATGAGAAGTGTTTACCTTTTGCTCTCTAGAAGAGATTATATCATCTTGGTATAATTTCTTCACCTTGAAAGTTATTATGCTGGACATATTTCTTTGTAATGATAGTCATTTGGTCACATTAAAATGTTTTACTCTTCTTATGACCTGATTAATTTCTAATGAGAAACCCATAGGTATTTAAATTGCTATTACTCTATACATAGCATTAATTTTATCCTTCTGTTTGAAAAGGTGTCTTGTGTTTCTTTCTATACATTGAATATACCTGGACAGCTTTTGGATGTATCTTGTCATTTTTGAAGGGGCCCTTAAATTGGCAGGTTTATGTCTCTTGCTCAATTTGGAATAATTTTAGTTATTATGTATTCACATATTTTTTCTCAACATTATTTACTTGCTCCTTCAGCATCTCTAGAGGCAAAATGTTAGGTTTTATTGTATCATCCTACAGATCATTGTGGCTCTGTATATTTGTTTCTCACCTTTTCCCTCTGTATTGTTCAACTTAGCTAATTTCTATTGATCTATCCTTAAATTTACTGTCTCTTTCAAATCCACTCTTCTATTGTACCCTGCAAGGCTATTCAAAAGTTTCTGTTACTGTATTGTTCAGTCTTACAATTTTAATCTTTCTATTATTTCTTACTTCTTTGCTGAAACTTTTCTTTTTGATTTTTCAAGACAAGGTTTTTGTGTGTATTCTTGGCTGTCCTTGGACTCATATGTAGACCAAGCTGGCCTTGAAATCACAGAGATCCATCTGCCTCTGCCTCCCGAGTGCTGGGATTAAAGATATGTGCCACCACTGCCTGGTTTTTGCTAAAACTTCTAATATTTACGTTCATTTAAAGAGCATTTGTCACAGGGCGGTAGTGGCACAGGCCTTTAGTCCCAACACATTTATGAGGCAGAGGTAGAGACAGGTTGAATCCCTGTGAGGTGGAGATCAGCCTGGTCTACAGAGTACGTTCCAGGACAGCCAAGGCTACACAGAGAAACCTTGTCTCAAAAAACAAAATCATATTTACTTTTCTCTACTATTAACTTCTTGCAACTTTGTCTGACACTAAGCAGTAGAATAAAGAACAGATGAAGAGAGAGGGAAGAGGAAGAGGGGGGAGGAGAAAGACCCATCCACACACAGAGAGACAGAGAGGTAGACAGGGAGACACACAGAGAGACAGAGATAGGGAAACACACAGAGACAGAGAGACACACAGAGAGGTAGTGATAGAGAAACACGTAGAGACAGAGAGACACATAGAGAGACAGAGATAGAAAACCGCCAAGACAAAGAGACACAGAGAGACAGAGAGAAATGAATACGAACCATTGGGGAACAGCACCCAGTGTCTTGGGATCACAGCCACTCTAGGCAGAGAGAAATACAGTCCTCATTCCTGTCAGTCTGAGTGCATGAGGGTACGGCATTTTTTTTTTAACCAATGCAGCTGCCACAGTACAGGAAAGAACAAAGAAAAAATCAAATGGTATTTCTTCTATGTTCTTTGAACATTAGGAGACCTATTTCCCCCTCTTTCTGGAGTTCTTTTTGTCCATGTCTATTCACCTTTCTAGGCTGGCTTGAGTCTGGTATTGAGTTGGCTTCAACTCCAGTGTTCTTCATGAAGTTACCTGTTGTGTTCATTTCAGAACGTTTAAATGGCTTCGCTATGCGTTCTGCTCGGGTGCTTTGGGCTGCGTTGGATCTCGCTTTGTTGCCCAGGATAGCCTTGAAATTCCTGATTCAGTTCTTCTCACCTCAGCCTCTCGAATAGCTGGGATTTATAGGGGTGTGCCACCACACCCAGAGAGAATCAGTTGAGTGTATTGATCTATGTTAATTGGAATCAGAATCTCTGGGTTGAATAAGATAGATTGCATATATAAATATGTATAGCTAACGGAGTCTTTGGTGTATATATGTGAATAGTCAGGTGAGTTTTTTCATGTTCTTCCTGAGGCAATCACTTTATGTAATGATTAATCTGGTTGCCTATTGCTGTGGAAGAAGCGGTCTTCAAATAGTAAGGTCTATGAAAATAGCACCAATCATTTCATTATCTCGGTTTCAGGCACTGCCTAGGCTCAGGTAGATGGTTCTTATTTGCAGTTGCTTTTGTATTTATGGTGGAGTAGGAAAAGATCCTGGCTAAAATCAAGATGAAGAGATTCCATGGTGTGAAGAAGGCACTAAGTAGTCTTGACTAAATGCTCACCTAGAGGAGGAGGGTGGTGGTGTTCTGAACAGATTTCCCTATCTTCTTCAGCGAATCCTCTTGCTGCAAACTCCTCTGGAGGAGAAAGCATGGGCAGTTGGTGGGAATAGAGATTCAGTAAATGGGAATCGAGTGCTGGACAACAGGCAGTGACTGATGTGTTCAGCTTTCTTTTCTTCCTTGACTAGAGAAATAAGGTGGGTTGAAAACTCTAGTTATTAGGATTTCTTCCAAGAGGTTTTATCACGGAAGACCTTGTCATAATTCTGAGTTGGGCTTGACCCTAATGTTCAACTAAAGACTCACCTGTTTTCTGAGTTAACAGGAAGATAACATTAAAAGTATCATCATGATAAATTGCCCCTCCCATCCTCCTTAGGGCAGACCATTGGCCACTCTTCTACTCAGAATGGCAAGCATTCTTAGTTCCCTCCAATTCAACACTCTTTCCTGCAAGGAATTTGTTGAAGTCTAATGATGGAGTTATTTATTTCATCCCTCTCACCGATTGCCATTACCTATCCTTATTTGAATAATGCCTGGAAGACTCCAGGGGAGTCCCTATTCTCTGAAAGGTGACAAAAAGGGGGATCTCTCTCTCTCTCTCTCTCTCTCTCTCTCTCTCTTTCTCTCTCTCTGTGTGTGAACAGTAATATGGTTTTATAACTCCTGGGAGGCCCCACTTTACTGGGCTCACAGAGGCCACACACCCGCGTGACACCAAACTCCTAGCGGTGGCGCTAGGAACAGGACTGGAGATCTAGCAGCGAGTCAATCCTAGCTGATGTTCCTTGCCAGGAGCAAATGACCTCTGCAGTCCCTTTTAGATAGCGTGAGGGCTACTACCCAGAAACTGGTTAGCCAACCCCAGACGGTCTCACCAGGTACTCCTGAACAGGACGGTCAGCGCGGCGCCACCAAAGGGCTGGCTGCCCGCCTGGCAGAGGAGGATAGGGCCCGCCCCACCCGGACAGCAGGGTGGCCGTGCTCTAGGCCAGGGCGGGGGATGGGGGAAGGAGGGGAGACGACGACAACGACAACGACGACGAACAGGTGCGCGGGCGGGGGGCGGCGCTTGGGGATCCTGCGCACTGCGAGCGCCCCTCCCCCGCAGCTTGGCGCAGCCCAGGCCTGGCGCTAGCAGCAGGAGGAGGAGCTGCGGTTGTAGCCACGGGCTAGGTCGGCACCGCGGGAAGCTGCCGACGACTAAGCGGGCTGTTGCTGGTCCCCGCGTGAAAGAGGCGCGGGCAGCCCCGGAGTCATGGAGCCTAGTGACGCGGCGCACCCCGGTCCAGGGAGGGCTGTTTGGGCGCTGGCGCCGCGGCTGCTGCTGCTGCCACTGTTGCCAGTGCTGCTGGGTCGGGGGCTGCGGCTCGGGGCCGCGGCCTCCTCCTCTGGGGCGGCGGCCGAGGACAGCAGCGCCATGGAGGAGCTCGCCACCGAGAAGGAGGCGGAGGAAAGCCACCGGCAGGACAGCGTGAGCCTGCTCACCTTCATCCTGCTGCTCACCCTCACCATCCTCACCATCTGGCTCTTCAAGCACCGCCGGGTGCGCTTCTTGCACGAGACCGGGCTGGCCATGATCTATGGTGAGTTCCCTGCCACTGCCCGGCCGACATCCCTTGGGCGGCCGGCTGTTCTCCTCCGGGTTGCCGCACAGTTCTCCCGCTTCTCTTCCCAAGGAGTTTCTTCTTTTGCGTTTCCAGCTGAGACGCTGTGGCATTCCAAGGTCAACTGTCTGCATTTTTTTTTTTGACTTTCTGCTATGCTTAAAAGCATTTTTGTCCCATTTCAACGTTTCTTTACCAGGAACCAAGATGAAAGACACAAAGGCCTTTAGGCCCTCTGCTTGATTATGTCTCTGTTGTGCCCCTCTCCATCAGCATTGACCCCCCTTTCCTACCCCATTTTAGATATGTAGAGGACACAGGGGTAGGAGGTGGGTGATTTCTCAGGGAGCTGTGCCGCGCCAGGGGACAGGCTACAGAGGGCTGAGAAAGAGGTCTGAATGTAAGTCTTGACTTGGGCTACCTATGATGGTCATTCCAGGTAGGGGCCCACTTCTGAGGTCTGTGTTCTTTTTATCTCTTGTCAATAATGTCCGAGGAGGAATGAAAGGTGAGTGTGGTCTAGGATTCATTGTAGTGACACCACTATGTCAGGCCTAACTATTGAGACAGGAATCCTTAATGTCCCTTGGGAAGTTATACCTATTTCCTTGCTCTCTGCAAGCCAAGGAACCCTTAAACCCCTAAATTGGTAACAGGGAGCAACTTTGAAGAAACATTTCTGAGTGTATGGAGGGAAAAGTGATGGTTTTAATTCTGGAGTCAGCCCCCTTTTGTTAAGGATGGGCTGATATCACTTTCCTTTCTGGATTGAATAGTACACAACATGTTGCATGGACAGGGTTATGACGTGGATAATAACAGTCACAATCTGAGTCATCCTTTTTTCTCTCTGTGCCTCCTGTCATTCTCTCCTTACTCCTACCCCATTCACTCCAAACTGGAGCCAAACATTCTTTTTTTAACTTAATTCAGGGGTGTGAAAGCCCCAAGCTAGCATCCTCTAATGAGATAAAAGAGCCCCTTCAGAACTGTTTCCCAAGCCAGAGCATTATTCTTCATTACAGTATACTTCACTCAGTTTCTACCCAGGGATCCCTGACAGAATAGAAATTAATCTTTAATTTCTTAACTTTAATGTGTGAATTACCCTTGGTTCTGGGCCTTTTGGGTCTCATGCTTCTTGGTTAGTTATTAATAGCCAGGGCTTATGACTACCAAACCCTTTCAAACAAATTGTGTAAGGGACTAGTTGGGAGTCTTTCAGTTTGGAAGTAGTGACCTAAACAGATTTTGAAACCATAAAATAAAAAATCTAGGTGGTTATGGGAAATCACAAGTCTCAGGACAGACTTTGGCCTCCATACCTGATTAAGGAGCCTCTGTAGTTTGTTTTAGTTGGTAACAAATGAATGACATGAGGAAAGCATGTAAACCGAGATGTTTCCTGGGCAGATAGTGAATGAGGATTGAAATATGCTGCCATCTTAGATGGTTGCTTCAGAGCCATGTTGGAAATGAAGGACTGCCTTTGTCTGTTTATACAAAGCTATGAGCATATAATTATTTTATAGGTCTCAGAACCAACTCCTTAAAGAACAGTGAGAAATAGGTAGTACATTTGACAGACGCATAAATGCATGCTCAAAGACAGAAAATAAATGGGGATAAAAATATGTGTTCTGAGGATTATTCTATGTTCACAGAATTCAGTAATTTTCATCTTTGACTTTCCTTTGAGACAGGGTCTTGCAGAGTAGCTTAGACTGTCCTGAAATTCACTGTGTAGCCTTGGTTGGCCTTGAATTTAGGGCAGTCCTCCTGCCTCAGCCTCCTGAGTACTGGGGTTATGTGTATGAGCTACCACACCCAACTCCAGTCATTTTTATCATAAGGCTTAAAAACAACAGTAGGCTTTTCTTGCACTGATATATACTTCAAAAAGCCACCTCAGTTTTTCAGTAATTGGGACCACATGCCAGAGTGCTCTTTCATTTTGTGGATAGTCATGATATAAATCTCATGATATACCTGTGTAATTTTGTTCTATGTCTTTGGGTCTTCTTGCTGCTTTTAAATGTATTGAGAAATTTATCTTGTCAAAGTGTGATTTCTTGGGTTATGTCAAATATTAATAAGTTGATTTGGGTTGTTTGTAATTGTGAGAAAACATTTCTTTCCAGGACATTTGATCTTCTGTTTCAATTCTCGATCAAAATCTGAATTCTAATTTTAATTGATTACTAAATTGTCCACTATGTACTTAAGATTATTAGAGTAATAAGGCAGGAGACTCTGACCTCTGCAGATGTGTCTTAGTATGCACACATGAACATACCTGTGCACACACATGCATCTGCCCACAGACAAAGAAATCTGATTTTATTTCTCAGTATCCATAGAAGAAGTGAGTAGTTGTCCTCTTGTCTCTGAGTAATAAAGGGCAGGAAGGCTTAGGGATATACTTGTTGAGGATCTACTCTGTTCTGGGTATGCATGTTAATTTCTGGAAGCTACAATTTAACTTCAGAAATTTTTATGAATAAATTTTTATGAATTAAAATGTTCAATTTTGAAATCCAAAACCCTTCAAGTTTTTAAAAGTCTCTTTCCTGTCATCTATTTTATTGGCATATATCATTGTACATAGTACTGGCTTTCTTAAGAACATTTGACACAAGTATTTAATGTATTTTGACAGTGTTTTCCTCATACCCTGCTGTCCTCTACTTTTTTCTCCTCCTGCTATTTCCCTTTGTTCCCCTAGAGCAGTACTTCTCAACCTTCTTAATGCTGTGACCCTTTGCTATACTTCCTCACATTGTGGTGACCCCCAACCAAAAAAATTACTTTTGTTGCTACTTCATAACTGTAATTTTGCTATTGTTATGGATTCTAATGTAAATATTTTTGGAGATAGAGGTTTGCCAAAGGGATCACAGCCCACATCTTAAGAACCACTGTTTTAGACATTCAAGCTTCTATTTTCATGTCATGCATATATGCATGAGTTTCTGTTATATCTATAAAGTCTGGGATTCACAAATGAGAGAAAATATGCAATATTTGTCTTCTTGAGTCTGACTTAATTTACTTATTGTGATAATCTGCAACTGCACACATTTTCCTGCAAACCACATAATTTCATTATTCATGGATGAGTAAAATTCCATTGTGTATGTATAGCACATTTTCTTTATCCACTTTTTCTGACGACAGACACCTAAGTTGGTTCTATAGTTTAGCTGTTGTGAGTCCTGCTGCAGTAAGCATGGATGTGCAGGGATCTCTTGTCTTGGACTTCTTTGAGTAAACAAACACCCAGGAGTTGTCCACCTTTTTCTATTGAACTTATATTTAATCTGAGAGGAATAGCTTTAGTATTAAACAAATAAACTAGTACAGTTATAAATATCTATGGAAGTATATGTAACAGACTATTCATTGGTTTCCTTAGGGGACAGAACCTTGGTAGCTGTGACTTTTGAGTGGAAGGGAGATGTCATTATGTACTTCTTTGTGCATTTTGGTTTTTGAACCGTAGAAGTGTAATTACCTAGTAGCATGTCTATGCCTCCTTTCTGTATCAGTTGTGATGTGTGTGCTTCTTAAATCACTGAATGCAACACCGACTTCTCCCTATTTATATCGTGGTATGTCATCCCATTGTCCCCAGGGAGTAGTTATTTTGTTAGGAATTTACACAAATAAATCTTGTAGTAGTAAGTATTTGCTTCAGTACAAAAGACCTAAAGACAGTAAGAGATATATTGTGAATGTTTAGCATTTGTAGTAAAAGACAAGTACTAAGGATAATTCATTCATCCCTGACAAGAGGCTAAGGTAGCTACTAGGCACAGTATTCCCAGACCTGACTTTCTAGGGAGTTTGAAAGCAGTCCCCAGACCTTAACATGCCAGCTGTAGATATCTGGGTGAAGTATTAGCATGGCACCAGTCTAACCTGTTCCATTAGACTAGGGAGCTTCCAGTTGTCTCTGTAGGTGATTAAGTACCACCCTGAAGTTACAGGGTCCTGCATGTCTGCACAGCCGAAATAACAAATTTTTGAGGTAGAGGAAGGTGGCATAAATAGACTGTCAGTTAATTGTGGTTATCATGTTTACAGTAGTTCCACTTCCTCTATAGTGTTTTTGTGACAAATGACGTGTATCCAAAATAATATCTCTAGACTACACTAGCCTGCCACCTGCTTCTTAATTCTCCTTTTTCCATGTCTGCCAGCTTTCTGAAGACTTATTGGTCAGCCATTGCAAAGTTTTTTGGGTTGTGGGTTCCTTCCTGCTGCTCTGTTGATGATTGTACTTGGATTGCTAAGCACAGCCTGAGAGTAGACCTTCCAGAAAAAGTATGAAAGGCTCAAATATGATGTAGAAACATTAGACTTACATTTGGGCATCTGTGTTGGTGAGATTCTCATTGCTCTGACCAAATACCAGAGAGAAACGACTTAAGGGAGAAGGATTGGTTTTATCTCCATGATTTCAGCCTGTCACAGTGTGGAGTGCTTAGTGGAGCACAGGGGTTTTTGTTATGTTGCCCAGGAAGCAGAGAGTATGCCTGCTGCATTGGCTATGTCTTCTTTCCCCCTTTTTATTTAATCCAAATCCCCATCTATGGAATAGTGTTGCCTACTTTCAGAGAGATTCATTCTTTCTTAGGTTATCCTCTCTGGAAACACCTTCACAGGTACTTCCAAAGGTACACTTCAGTATTCTAGGTGCTTCTCTGTCCAGTCATATGATTGATCATAGTTAACCCTCCTTTACAAGTTTATTGGTTGAGCCACAGTACTCAAACACATCTCTCTCATAACATTGCACCACTAAAGGATCATAAATCATATTGTAGAATAGATTTAGTCTATCTCTAAAACCCCCAGTTTCAATAGTTACAGCACTGCTTAAAAGTCCAAAATTTCCTCTGAACAATGAAATCAACTCTTAGCTGTGAGCCCCTGTAGAATAATGACACAGAGGAGATTGCCTATTCTAAAAAGGA